GTAGGGCCTTGAAAGGTAATTAGCTCACTTGGGTGGAGCCTTCATGAATAGGATAGTACCCTTATAAAAAGGACCCCAAAGAGCTCTGCTGCCCCTTTTCCATCACGTGAGGCTACACCAAGAAGCTGGCATTCTGCAGCTGGGCAGCAGGCTATTACCAGATCCCAACCATGATGTCACCCTAATCTTGGACTTCCAGACTCCAGAGCTATGAGAGTTAAATGTCTGTTGTTTGTATACACCTAGTCTGTGGTATTTTGTTATGGCAGCCCAAAGTGACTAAGACAATATCATTTTTCCTTGTTTCCCTATCAATAAAACCACAATCTTCCCAGTCAGACTTAAAACATTAGACATCCTTGACCCCACCTTCTACTTCTCTTCCCATGTCTAATCAGTGACAAAATACTAGAAATATTATTTCAGTCTCACCTGTTACCTGGAGACAACCCAAACGCAAGTCCATGTTTTCACCGGAGAAAATAAAACAGCCTTCCACTTCCGTTCTCTCTCCCAATCATCCAGCCTATTCTTTGTAATGTATGTTCTGTTTCATTGCGTCCAGTTTCACTGTTCGGACACCCTCCCCCATCCCTACATGCCTACAAAATAAAATCCAAGCTTCAGAATTTAATATTTCCCCCCTTTAGTAACAGGCCCTGAACCTACATCTTTCACATTCCAACATTTTCAGGGCTTATACATAACCAATATTCCAACCAAACTCTACTATTCCCTGAATATGACCCACATGTCCCCAGTTCTACATCTTTATTCACAACATTCCTTCTGTCTGCCATGCCTGCCTCATCTCCACCTGTTCACTTATTCCACAAATACTATTGAACATCTCTCATGTGTAAGGCCTTATACATATCAAGGAATTACACTTACTTTGTGTCGCTTAGAATCTAGCCTGTTGAAATCCTATGACTCCCGTAAGGCTAGTTCATATCGCCACTGCCTCCATGAACTCCTCCTTGGTCTCCTGGCCAGAAGTGACCAACTGATCATTGCACTGTTTACCTCACTCATTGGTTTATCAATGCCAGATGCTAGTTATTCATTCCTCAGGGCCCTTATAATTGCTGTTCTTTCTGCCCCACGTGCTCTTCCCAGACTCCTTATAGTCAGATCCTTCACTTCATTTTCTGCTCAAATCTCACATCCTCAGGAAGTGTTCTCTAGTCCCTCTACCTAAAATATCCTCTCTACTTTATTTTTCTTACTGGAAATTATCCATACCTTAACTGTGTGTGTGTGTGAGTGTGTGAGAGAGAGAGAGAGATTTGTGTACTGTACATGTATGTCTCCCTGAGTGGACTATAAGCTCTATAAGAACAGGGATATTGTGATATTATATTCCCAAAATTGTCCTTTCAAGACAGCAATCATCTTTCCCTAATCACAAAGAACACATAACTACAAAATTTAGTTTACATATTCTTTGGACCAACCAAATTCTTAGATGAGACTTCCTTTCACCACTAATTATATCCACAATCAGAAAGGGAAACATATGTGAATTATTCTATCCGGGTCATTGATTTTGATTTTTTTTTTCCTGGTTATACCTAAATCAACTGCTGCCCTCTCCCTAAGCCTAGCACTGTATCAAGTAAGAACTAGATATCTCTTGAATAAATCCCCCTCCCCAAGAAACAACCTCTTGTATATATTTTCCACTAATCAGCATCCTCCAGATGGTCTAAAATATTGATGGGGCTAACCACTGGCCACAGTTCTTTTTTAGAGCAGCGGCCTTCCACGGGGACTCCTAAAGTCCCTTCCCACAGCACAGCCAGGGGACCCAGGAACTAAGAAAACAGAGAACCCTACTTAGAAGCAGAAACAAAGATGCTCAGCCCCACAATTGCCTGACTTCAAGTCAGAGCCACCCCTTGGTGTCTCATTAGCTCTAGGAGGAACGAACATTGGAAAAGTGCCTCTGTCTCCTCCCTGAGTTCTCCAGAGCCTTTATCCTTTAATTTTATGTCACTTGGAGTATATTTTTTTAACTATAAATAGAAATTTAATCTGAGAGAGGTTATTTACTTACAGTAAAGCAATAACAGGTAATATCGGTCAAATATTCAAAGTTTTTCACCCGAAATTACAGAGAGAAGAAATGTTTATTATTTCACTTTAATATTGTATTTGGCATCCTGGCCACACAGTAAAGCCAAAAATTAAAGTAACAGGTTGAACATGGAAAAAAGGACAGGGAAGGGCAGAAAGTTGGGACTTGGACCTGAAGATTTCAGAGCAAGCCACAACTTGGAGTATTTTTTAACCATCACTGATTGGACAATGGGGCTCTATTGGAGCTTCAGTCATCCTAGGTAGCAATGATAGCTTGTTCTTCCATGATGCATCTGTCTGAGAACAGTGGATTGGGTAGCAAAGGTGTTTTGCCCATTCCTTTTCCATGGTATGATAATGAGCACCCAGCAGAAAAAGGCAGCCTTGGCTGCTTTTTTTTTTTTTTTTTAACATTTATGTATTTATTTCGCTGTGCCTGGCATTCAAACTCTTAGTTGCATCTTGTGGGATCCAGTTCCCTGACCAGGGATCAAACCCAGGCGCGTGCAGTCCCAGCCCCTGGAGCCCCAGGGAAGTCCCCAGCCTTGGTTTCTCTAATGCAATGGTTGGCCCTACTGAAAGACCAAACTGAGAAAGGCCCCTCATGCAGGAAAAGAAGCACTCCCTGCCTGACACTACTGGGACACCCAGAGCACAGCATGTCAAGACAGTGGGCTCTGTCACCCAGGCCTTCATGGAACAGCAAAGCCAGGACAGTCCCTTTATGTGACTCTGCAATGTCAGTCATTTCCAACCCCTTTGTTCATGCTTCATCAGAAAGCCCTTTGTTATGTATTTGTGGTCTCCACAGGGTGTGTGTTTCCGTGGTACACACATCTGTAACCTTCATCACCAGTGCTGGTTAGGTCCCTGGCTTCTCTAAGATTTGGTCTGTATGAGTGACTTAATTATCTAGCCTCAATTCATTTAATTTACCACAGAATCAGCCCAATTGAAAACTGTCAACCCAAAGAAATTTTTTGCAGCTCCTCTGATGTATTTCTAAAGGGAATAACAGCCTGTCACTTTTAGACAAGTCGCCTGATTTCCCTGGGCCTGTGCTCCCTCACAAATAAAATGAGGCAGGTGACTCTGACGCTGGCTGCATATTAGAATCATCTGGGGAACTTGTAAACTAACCATGGGGCCTGGACCTCTCCTTCCCAGACCAATTAAGTTAGAATCTGGGGGGAAGGAATGGAGGCCTAAGCCCTAGTATTTTTTAAAAGCTCCCCAGAGGATCTGGACGTGCAGCCAACATTGGGGAGCAACCACCAGATTGGATGATCCCTCAAACTGCTTCAGCACCAACCTCACTTTACTCGGCAGGTCCCCATGATGCACCATGAGCAGTGGCTTGGGTGACTGGGTGTGAGAACCATGTCTAACAATGGCTTGCTCTGGAGTGAAAGGAAGCCACAAGGTTGTTTACCGCCCAGTGATGTCCTATAGTCCAAAGAAAAGGCTGTTACCATCAAAATGGCCTCTTCAGAGGCTTATCGTGTCTGTGGGGAGGAAGAACCCAGGGTCTTCAGGATTCTCTCTGGACCTTGATCTCACCAAGCAAGGCCCAGAACAGATAGTCTGGACCCACCATGTGAGGCAGCCCTACCTCTCATAGATCACCTCACACCCTCACAGCAAAACCTCTCCTTATCTGTTCCCTCCCTGGTCTGTCTCATTCACTCATCCAACAAATATCCATTCTGTGCTGACTCTCTCATCAGGCACTGTTCTGGGCCCTGGGGATATATTTTTGAGGAGAAGTAGACAAGAAAGAAAAGAGAGCTGCATGAGGGTGAGGGGACAATCCAGGAAAAGCAGAAGGGAGCATTAAGGTGAGCTAATAAAAGGTGGTCAGGCTAGGCCTCATTGACAAGGTGAAATCTGCACAAAAATGTGAAAAATGTACACAAACAGCCCAATCAAAACATGGACAGAAGGCCTAAATAGACATTTCTCCAGATAAGACCTATAGATGGCCAACAGGCATATGAAAAGATGCTCAGTGTCACTAATTATTAAAAAAATGAAAATCAAAACTACAATGAGGTATCACCTCATACAGTCAGAATGGCCATCATCCAAAAGTCTACAAATGGGGCTTCCCTGGTGGCTCAGTGGTAAAGAATCCACCTGCCAATGGAGGGGACACAGGTTCAATCTCTGGTCCTGAAAGATCCCGCATGCAACAGAGCACCTAAACCCATGCTCCACAGCCCAGGCGCCACAGCTACTGAGCCCATATGCCTTAAAACACTAAAAATGGAGCTACCGTGTGACTCAGCAATCTCATTCCTTGGGATATATCCAGAGAAAACTAATTTGAAAAAAAAAAATGCATCCCAGTGGTCATAGCAACCCTATTTACAATAGTCAAGACATGGAAACAACCTAAATGTTGTCAAGAGATAAATGGATAAAGATGATACACACACACACATACACAATGGAATAATATGCAGCCATAAAAAGAAATGAAATCATGCATTTGCAGCAACACAGATGGACCTAGAAATTGTGGAAGTCAGACAAAGACAAATATAATATTAAATCATTTACATGTGGAATTTTTATAATGATACAAATAGACTTTTACGAAACAAATAGAGTCACAGACATAGAAGACAAATTTATGGTCACCAAAGGGGATAGTGGGGCAGGGGAGAGATAAATTAGGAGTTTGGGGTTAACATATATGCACTATTATATATAAAATCGATAAACAACAAGGACCTCCTGTATAGCACAGGGAACTCTATTCAGTGTCTTATAACTTATTATGGAAAAGAATCTGAACAATGCATCTGAAGTACTTTGCTGTACACCTAAAACTATGACAGCATTGTGAATTAATTATACTTCAGTATTTTTTAAACTGTTATAAATACTAAAAAAAAAAAAAAAAAGCTCACCTTTTATTCTACAGCTCTGTTCCATGCAGAATACAGCCTTATAATGTGGTTATTCCACATATCAGTCCCTTCCTCCACTAAATTTTCTGAATCTTCCTTCTCAGGACAGCACATGTAGTAGACACTGTGGGAAAAGGCAGAAATAAGGTAAAAGGAGTGTCTTCTCTGACTATCTGTAATACAATCCACTTCTCTGTCACGCACACACCTTGAAGGTTCTCAGTTCCACTTTTAGGTCAAATGGGCATAACTGTATAAAATCATACCATTTTAGAATAGAAAGAGTCCTTAGAAATCATCCAATCCAAATCTCTTATTTCATAGATAAGGAGTCTGTAGCCTGAAAGTCAGAGGTTCTCCCAAGTAGGCAAGTGGCAGACGTTTCCCCAAAGGTCACACTGCAGCTGAATGAGCTGTCGCTGCCACTTAGGAACACCAGCCAAGCCACCCACACCCCTACAGTGGCTCCTTAAACACCTGCCTCCAAGGCCGTGCAGATACAGGAGCAACACAAATGGTCTCCTGTGCACCCCTATGTTCTCCATGGCACCACAGTCCCCTCCAGTTCCCTTCAATTCCAGAAATTTGGCCAAATCAATTTATAGAGAAGCATTTTTTTATAACTGTGGTTTTCTGTAATGAACCTGCCTGCCCCTTGACTTCTCTCTCAAAGAAGACAGAGTAACAATCACCTGTCACAATCACCTTAAGTGAGCAGTGAATTTATAATAAAACTGAAACCTGTCATAGTCTTTCCAACCTTCGTTAACCTGTGCTCTCTCTGATGAGCACAAAGTCACATACGCCTTCAGTGGCATTAAAGCTGCAATAAACAAACCATGGCTAAACATAAAACAGTAATTTTTAAATGCATTTTTTTATCTTGAAAGATGCTTTAACTGAAAAATCATGTAAATATTAATATAACACTAATTCTGCTTACCTACTTGCTCTCTAGCTTGTTGAAAAGGAAGAAGTCAGAATTTTTTTCATTTTCCAAATATAAAACACCACAATATTGACAGTGCTTTTCCAAAACAACATAGAGTCTTATTATTAGGTGTTAACAGGAGAAGGCAAAGTGTATTTTAAACTATGATGACCTAAGAGTTAAATGATGCCAAAAAACAGCAGTTTCTGGAATGAGCACACAGCTTGGAATCAGCCACCATGATTTTTAATTCAGATAATAGGGGTGCTTGGCAGGAACAGCTTTACCAAATCTACTTGATTTGACTCTACAATCACAAGTTCTGAAACCTCAACCTGATTCCCAAGATTTGTGGGAATCACAAATCTTAGGGCCTGTCCTCAGCATCATCCATGACCTGAGTGGAAGAAAAGATGAATGGAAACCAAGGGCCATGTGTGTAGCCTTTAAAAAGAAAAGATTTCTGCATCTGCACTCTGCCAGAGGCTTATAATAGAACCTCAGATAATAGCCAAGCTGGGAAATAGGCAGGGGCCTGCAGTTTCATACCCTGGAGGAAGAAATCATAATATTGTCAAGTAGTGAGAAAAATAAAAATTGAAAATGTTACCAACAAGAATGTTGGACTGAACGGCAGACTATATTACATTTTGTTGTCCTTTGTTATTCAAAGATAATGTGCCTGACAGTAATTGTTCTCTGAGTCTTAGAATGTAGCTTAAATACCAATGGGAAACTCAAGAGTCTTTTCCATGCTCCATAAATTGTTCCATGGTTTGCTGCTGTTTCGTCACTGTTTGTTGCTTTGCCACTTAGATTCATGGTTAACCTGAAGCCTTTGGTCCAAGGGGAGGGAGCTCTTGCCTTCCTGCCCACAGTAGGATGATGGGCTCATGGCTATGGTTTAATAGAAGTTGATGCTACAAAGAATAGCCTGAGGAGGAACTCTTCCTGTAGGAGGGATGTAACTCCCAGCCGCCCTGCTGCCTGCACCCCACCCTCGTAACCAAGGAAACAGTGGGTTATGATAATGATGGGAAAAGGACACTGAGTAGGGAGCATGGGCCAAGCACCCAGTCCCAGAACCCTGCCTGCCCAAATGAAACACTGTGCTTCAGAGAAAAGATCACCCTCAGTACAGCTGCCATTGTCAAGCACAGTAACCAAATGTACACACCTTATCTGATTAAATTCTCATAACAACCATGCCCTATGAGGATCATAGTCATCATTTACAAAGAAGACTGAGGTCCAGAGCAATTAAGTATTTGTCAAAGATCAAAAGTTAATAAGGACAACTTCTAGTGTCCAGTCCAGCATGAAAGGAACACTTAAAGTCACCACTCTGTTCTGACAAGTAAAATGCTGAACTGAAAAAACAACAACTCTTAAGATCCATCAAAGAAATGAGGTTACATGGCAAACTGTTGCCCCCCGTCCCCCGACCAAAATGGAAAGACAGACAAGCAAATACCAAGACTCAGAACTTACAGCAGCAAACCCGCATAAGCAGAAAACTCCATGGAAACCAGAGCCAGTACAGGAAAATTTGAACTGTAATTAAAGAAGTGCTGGAAGCTCAATGTGGACAAATCTCAAAGCTAAAAACTCCAGGAGGACACAATCATAAAGGTGAACATTTCTGAGTTTTAATTCCAGGAGCTGAATTAGATCCTAATAGTAACATCAAAGATGAATCCCCTTGTGCTTCCAGCAGGACAAAGAGGAAAAGAACCATTTTGACATACACCAAAGCATTCTATTTTTAAAAGGGCCTGCTCTCAGAATGGATACTTAGGTTGCCTTTTGTCTACATTTTATGTTAAATCCCTTAGTATATTAATCACCATTTTTTAAAATTCCTGATCTGAATTCCACATTCCTATAATATTGGACTCTGGTTCTGATTCTTGTTCAGTCTCTTCAGTCTGTGCTTTTGCTTTTCAGTATGCCTTGTAGTTTCTGATGTACTGGGAAAAGGGACTATAGTCAAGAGGCATTTAGAAATGTGGTAGTTTCCCTGCTGGCTCAGTCTAAAGAATCTGCCTGCAATGCAGGGGATGCAAGGGACATAGGTTCAGTCTCTGGGTTGGGAAGATCCCCTGGAGGAGGAAATGGCAACCCACTCCAGTATTCTTGTCTGGAGAATCCCATGGACAGAGGAGCCTGGTGGGCTACAGTCCATGGGGTCATGGAGAGTTAGACATGACTTAGCAACTAAACCACCAATGTGGTGGTAAGGTGCAAGGGATGAAAGCATTCTACAGTCCTATGATTAGGTCTTAGTTTTGGGGTGATTCTGTGTCCCTGGCCCATGAACTTCACCAATACACCTCAGGATTTTTTCTTTCCCCCTTAAGTGGGACAGGATGTCTGCAGGAGCCTGGAGTTGGCTATTTCCCTCCCCCCAAGTGGTTTAGGTGTTGGTAAAATAGATTCTCCTGAGAGCACCATTATATTTGGAGACATTACCACCTCTTTATGAGAAATACCCAAATCCAACAGGGAGAAAAGCAGTAAGAACATAGCTGAACTCCACAGCACCTTCAATCAACTGGATATAATTGACACTGTAGACTACCTTATCACTCAATGGCAGATTATATTTCTACTCAAGCTTACATGGAACATTTAACACACCTAGCAAATTTAAAAGAATAAAAACCATATAATGTATGCTGTCAGACCACATGCAATTAAACTAGAAATCAATTTTGTGAAAGATAGATGGAAAAATCCAAAATACAGGAAGACTGAACAATACATGACTAAATAACACATGTGTCAAAAAAGAAATGTTAAGAAAATTTTTTTAATATTTTAAAGTAAGGGAAAATGAAACTATAACATCAAAATGTGGGATGCAGTAAAAGCAGAGGGAAATTTATAGCATTGGTTGAACTCATTAGAAACTAAGAAAGATCTAAAATGGATAATCTAAGCTTCACCCTAAGTACACTATAAAGAAAAAGAATGAATCCAAAGTAAGCAGGAGGAAAACGGTAAGAATTAGACTAGAAATCAGTGAAACTGAAAAGAGGAAATCAATTTTTTTAAAAAATCAACAGGCCAAAGATGGTTCTTTGAAAAGATCTAAAAACTAATAATCTTCTGCTGTCGTTCAGGCACTAAGTTGCGTCTGACTCTTCACGACCCCACGGACTGCAGCATGCTAGGCTTCTCGGTCTCTCAGCATCCCCCAGAGTTTGCCCAAGTTCATGTCCATTGAATTAGTGATGCTATCCAACCATCTCATCCTCTGATAGATAATCTTGTAGCCAAGCCAATTAAGAAAAAAGAGAAAGAGAAGACACAAGTTACTAAATGACAGGAAACATCACTGCAGATTCCATGAACATTAAAAGGATAATGGAGAATTATTATGAACAACTCTGTGCTCACAAATTTGATAACCTAGATGAAATGACAACTCCTTGAAAGACACAATCTGCCAAAATTCACACAAGAATAAATAAGTAATCTGAACAGGGCTTTATTAAAGAAATGAAATCAATAATTAAGAACCTTCCAAATCAAAAGCACCAGGCTGGAACAGATTCATCCAAGTCTCAAAAGCATAGATAACACTTCCTAACTCATTCTATGAATCCAGCATTACCCTTATATACCAAAAGCAGACAAAGACATTACAAGATAAATATAGACCAATACCTTTCATAAACACAGATGCAAAAAGCATCAACATAGTATTAGCAAATCTAATCCAACAATGTATAAAGAGCACAACCAGGAGGAATTAATCCTAAGTATGCAATCAATTGACAATTGACAATCAATTGAAAAAAATGTAATTCATCATATCAACTGGAAAAAAGGAAAACCACATGATCATATTAATAAATGCAGAAAAAGAACTTGACAAAATCCAACACCTATTTATGACAAAAACTCTCAGTAAATCAAAAATAGAGGGGAACTTCTCACTTTGATAAAGAATACCTACCCAAAAATACATATATCACTAGCATCATATTTAATGGTGAAATATTCAAAGCTTTCCAAGAAGTATCAAGATAAGGTTAGGAGGTCTCCTCTCACCACTACTTATCAGCATCATACTGAAATAGTAGCTAATGGAATGAGGCAAGAAAAGGAAGAAAAGTTACAAGAATGAGAATGAAGAATTAAAGCTGGCCTTGTTACAAATGACACATTCATCTATGTGGAAAATC